AGCATGGAAATATATATCAAATATTTTGTTAACATCCACTATCCCCACAACATTTGCTTAGAAAAATAACAGGTTGTCATTTGCAAACAATAAATGGTTAACTAGTCGAGTTTGCGTCTCCACCCAAATACCACCCAGATTATATTACTCGACACTGAATTTTAAGAGGCATGGTAGGACCTCTGCTACTAACAAGAAAATGGATCATGAAATAGGGGCCCCTGACGGATACCATGAGAAGGTCTAAATTCATGAAGCTTCTTTCCATTGAACAAAACTGAGAATTTCACTGATCTAACCAACCTCGTCACAATAGACACCCACCGCTCATTGAAACCCAACTTGAGCATAATGGACTCCAAATAGTTCTACTCCACTCTGGCATAGGCTTCAACATGTCAAGCTTAAGAGCATTGTTGGTTATTTTTAACTTTATTTTTCATCATAAAATGCAAACACTCGTATGCATAAATTAAGTTGGCCTGCGACAAAGGCTTAGTGTAAGACCGGGTGTGCACTCGCGTTAGGCATCACTATAAATGGGCCAACCCATGTAGCTTCCAGGTTAGCACGTGTCCCCCTGTTTTTTTATCTGTTTGTCTTTTTTCGTTCTTATTTTTGAAAATATTGTAAATAAATATATACCAAAAGATAGCATTAACAAAAAAATTCAAAACTATGAATTTTAAAAAATGTTAACACAATGTAAAACATCTGTTAGCTTAATTCAGAAAAAATGTTTGTGATGTTTAAAATATGTTCACGCGTAAAAAATTATGTAAAATTTTTAAAAACAAATTTATACAATGTAAAAAGTATTTGTGTAATTCAAAAAATGTTTTGTACCATTCAATAAAAATGTACATTACATTTTAAAAAATGCTCACGCATTTCAAAAATATGTTCATGACATTTAAAAAATATATTTATATAATCTACAAAAAGTTTCCCAAAGGTTAAAAATTGTTTCATATCATTCAAAAAATGTTTCACCATGTATTTTATAAATGTTAAAATATATTAAAAACAAGTGTTTGAAACAGTGTTAACCATATATTTGAAAAATGTTAGATGTGTATAAAAAATGTTTTATATGTATACAAAAAATGTACAATATGTATGAAAAATTAAACACCAAAAACATGTACTTGAAATAAACTGTTGATCTTGTATTTGAAAAATATTAAACGTCAATAAAAATATTCCTAATGTATACCATACATGTAAAATGTGTATAAAAAATGTAGAAATTTGTTTAAAAAGGAAAGGAAAAAAGAAAGGAAAAAATGTTCACGTAGTTTAAAAAAACTTTATTGCCATTACAAATGTTCAACATGTATTTTGCAAAAGGTTTAACATTTATTCAAAAAAATGTCCAAACATATACTTAAAAAATGTTCGCCATGTGTTTAATAAATGGTCAAGGTGTATCAAAAAAATATTTCACGTGTACACTATAAATAGATTGTGTAAAAATAGACATGCATAGAAAAAAGAAAAAAAGGAAAAGAAATAAAACACCATAGAACCCGGTGAAGAAAACGCCAACAAACTAAAGATAGCTGACGAAGAAACAAAGAAAAGTAGAAACAATTAAGAAAACCAAGGAAAACCGGTGAAGAAACGAAGCAAAAGCAAGAAAAAAGAACACACAAAAATGGTGAAGAAATGATGTTAAACAGAAAAACCTAAGAAAAACGGGGAAATTCGGTGAATAAACAAAGGAAAACAAAGAAAATCAAAGTAAAATGACGAAAAAAAGGAAAGGCAAAGAAAACCATGCAAAAAAAGTGGAAACAGAAGAAAAAAAAAACCTGCTATAGGATAAAAAAACATGCTATACTACTGGGCTGGCCGACGACCCCGATTACAGTTCAGGTCGGGCAGGCCGTAGGTTGGTGTCCAGCCTATCAACGTACGTTGTGCAGCCCTCTGTTTGATGTCCAGTTCATTTATGCGTTCATCAACCCCTCAAAAAAAAATTATGCGTTCATCAGATTCTCGAAAAAAAATATGAGTTCATCACAGCATCCATGAAATCATATATTGTACCCCTAAAAAATGAAATCATATATTGTTCTAGGGCATTTATTTCCTGTAATTTTATTCACGAGTTTAGGAGTCCAAATGTCGAAGCTCACAACCTCACGAAGCATGCACTTTCATTAGAGAAACAGCTGGAACATATACATTGATAGGCTCAGTTGGCCGTCATATTTGGTTAGCCCAACCCAACAATCTCTTTTTCATCCATGTAAACATTGTGACGGGTTAATAAAAGCTTGGCGAGTTTGCCTCAATTTATTTTTATGCGATCATCACACCAGCCAACCCCTGCTTTCACTCTACACGTAAACAGAAAGCAGCCTGCTGAGGAGGAATCCATGACCGAAATACAGTTTCGTCACCTTCGCATCTGCAACCTCACGTGCACAAAACCTAAACATCTCCTGTGGTTTTACAGTTCAGAGTTGAGTGCACTGAGCAGGACTGTAAGCTGGCTTGTAATAATATACAGTAGTAAAAGCTCTTGGTTCTAAAGAAAAGAAGCATCTTAACAGGCTTCAGATTCGATATCAAAAGAGAAACAGCTGGACCATATACAATAGTTATCCATCTCCGTCCCTGATGTTCGTGTTCAGCTTCACTTTCTCCATCCATGCAGCCAAGATGGAAGTTTAATATATGGACAGAGCTCTGAACTCTCAAGATACCACCTACGGAACAGTCCACACGTGTTGGTCCCTTGGTCTCGCACTCGCCCTGCAGCCCAGGCCTGCGACGCCGTAGAACAAAAAGAACCACTCCACTGTCCACACACAAGAGGTGTCCTGGAGATAGGCGTTATATTCCTTCACATCTTTCTTTACCAAAAACAAAAAGCGCCCTGATTCCTCCAGCTCCTTCGCTTATTCCTTCTCCCGGGAGCTCAGAGAGGGAGAAAGAAAGAGAAAGCATACGATTCCAAGCACTTACTTAACAAGCAACAACTGAATGTAATGTGCGCAAAGATAAAGTTCTCCTCCACACCCCCTTTCACCGGATTCAGCACAAAAGATAAAGCGATGGCCACAAAGTGTTCATTCCATGAAGTGCACAGCAGTTTTAGTTTATGCTCCTCATGACCAGCCATCATTGCTCACCATGCCCAGCTGATGCTCGACGAATCTAGCAGCGACTTGGAGAAACAGATAAGCACCAGCATGCCGCAGTTGAACCGGAGCCAAGGTACATATATCATATCGTGGGTCGGTACCATTTGCTTCCCTCAATATATAAGTGAACAGAAAAGACTTATAATTGGTAAGCACATGGATTCCCTCAACTACTCTGGAGAAGACTGGTTGATCCAGATAACAGCAACCTAAATATACAAATAGCAAGCTATAAAGAACAACAAGGGATGATTCTACTTGATTTACTATATATGAACAATTTTGTAAACTTCACGTCAATTTTTCCACCAAAAACAAGAGGGGGGCATCCTGCATCTGTGATTTGCAGAATAGCTTGAACATCAACTTGATTGCAGAGCAAATGAAAGGGTCAGATGACCACATGTTATATTAAAGTCTCACCAATTAGAGTGAACTTAAATTATTATTATTGAACTGTACCGACTACTCTCTCCATAACGAGAACTTTGTTCCCAAATTACAGAGGAGTATTCTGCACAACTTTTACTTTATGCCGGTTGAACCTATCTATAACTGAACTTGATGCATTTTCTATCAAAGCATGGAGAAGACAAATGATGGAAGTGAGACTATAAGAAAACAGTCAGCTGTACAAGGACGTATGTAAAGGAAAGGCAACATAGAGCACTAAAATCAAGAAGCTAAATCATAAATTTCAAGCTTACTTTATGTGCCTTATGAACGCAATCAAACTCAGAAGACCGTTTCACACGCATGCACATCTGATCAGATTCGCCTATCCACTTTAATTTTTCCTGATAGCTGAACAAGTAAAAAACTTACCAGAGGAGACAAAAGGGAACCATATGCTTATTCCATACTTTGCTTTTGTGCAGTCCCAAGAAAAGCATCTGTAATAGAATGAGTTCCTTCTTCGCTTTATTTGCAGGCAAAACTTCATCTAATTCTTCTTCTAGATGCATTCAGTCAATAAGAAATTTAGCAACCCCGTTCTCATATGAACCAATAAATATATGCCATAATAAACTGTATATCATGTTTGAGTATGCTGAAAATACATAAAGCAATACCATATGTGATTATGAAAATGCAGAATCATAACCATAAACCAATGCTGACCAAGTACAGATGCCCACAATGTAAGTGCAGTGGACAGTGGAATTAGTTCTAAGCAAGCAAGATGTAATCCAGGAATCAAGTAAACACAAAACTACAGCCACCGCCTAAAAGTTGTCCAGAGAACAAGGTTCCCTCCTTTTCCTATAAGGCTGATAAATAACATGACCACCCCTAGTTTCCTCCCCTTTCATGTGTGCCAAGTGAAAGCAATACAAACCATATTTGATAGTGCAGAATGAGAATGCAGGAGTGTTCTGGGAATTGACAAATAAAAAGATTTGTGCGCATAGGGTCCACAGGTACCTAAAGGAATAAGGATAATATCTCTTTTCAGTTGCTGTGAAGATTGGGTCAGGCTCAAGTGTTTCTTCCAACGATTCGAAATTCTTTCCTCGGTTGCCTGCCTTATAAGACTGGTGGTACCTGCATAAGATCTTGATATGAGTAGTCGTAGAGGCGTACTTGTTTAGAGCATAGGTCATCTCACTCTCAGCAAATAGAACTTCAAGGTTTGATGAACAACCCCTGATTACCAGAAATAGAGAGCTCATACAGCTGCAATAGACAGTTCCTACAAGGATTGTGCAGTCACAAGCATACATCACTACTAACAGGAACTGAAAGAGGTACAAGTCTATGAGATGTGTCTAGTGTCATGCATGTGAAGTTTAGTTTTGCTCAATATATTGCTATCTATCCTAACCTGCAATATGTTCATGTCAGATGTATCATCATCAACAACAGCTCCAGAGCCACAACCAGCTCTTAGCTTCTAGGCAGACTTTCCCTTCAGAGAGGCACTTACTTTTGCAAGGAGGAATTATTCCAGGAGAGTCAGGGCTTATACTCTCAACTGATGCTAAACCCAGGTTAAAATGGACCCCTGAGCTACATGATCGTTTCGTGGAGGCAGTAAATCAACTCGGCGGACCAGACAGTAAGTATGCATTGAAACAGTTTTGCCATAGAAGCAACTGTAATGATGCTAACATCTAAACACTTCAATTTCCGGCAGAAGCCACCCCAAAAACCATTATGAGGCTCATGGGTGTCCCTGGACTAACATTATATCATCTTAAGAGCCACCTCCAGGTATCCATAGCATTTTAATACAGTGTTTTCTCTTCTTTTTTACAGAAAAAATATATCATAATTTTCCGCATACATTTCTTCAAGCAAGATACTAAATTGTTTTGTCTTTCACCTAGAAATACAGACTAAGCAAAAATCTCCATGTTCAAGCCAATGTCGGAAATTCAAGAACTGGTAAGTATAGCGCAATCATGTTATGAGCCTATCATTAAGATTGATGTTGAGCGTTTTTCTTTTCCATTCACCAGCCGCAGGATGCACCATAGCAACAGAGAAACAATCTGAAGGAAATGGATCGCCAGTCGGCCACCACCTTAATACACAGACAAACAAGTAAGACAGAAATGAATCTATTCTTGTGCATGTTTACAGAAGGTAATAACTTGCTATCTTATCAGATCAATGCACATAGGTGAAGCCCTACAGATGCAAATTGAAGTGCAGCGACGGCTACATGAACAACTGGAGGTACAAAAGCAGCATAATATAAACTATATTACTTACAAGAGTCACTTTTACATCCCTTTGCATAGATATGAGCTATACCTGACTAATGCATTTCATGGATTACTTCTTGCTAGTACTATAAGTCCATTATGGCTGACCATCCAATAAATGTAGGATACATATATATATTATCGAGAAACTATACACTAGAGACAGGAAAAAAATAGCTACAAGAGCACCGCGGATATATACAACTACATACAGGAAATTCAACAAAAAATTATGGACGATGGAAGCAAAGAGCACCATGAAGCAAGACCAACTTATCTTTCTTTTTTTGAGCCTCAGACCAACTTATCTTAACCATCATTTGGTATATTAGTATTTTATTATAAGTAAACTTCAAAGTTGTGCTAATATCATTTTTTAAAATATCGATATTTTCTTCTTGATATGTAGAGTAATGAAAGAGCATGTAAGAAAAATCAGAAAAATTGTGATTAACTGTAAATCCTTAAGGCAACACTTTCTGTATATTCCGGTGTGAAAATATTGGAGCTGTGCTCCTTTGCACTGCATGCACATGGTCTTTCTATGTAAAATAATGTTTATATAAGGTAGAAGTTCACCACAGCTTTAATTCTCCCAAAGAGAAGAAATAAATGGCACGTTGCTAAAATAGTGATGGTCTGGTATCTAATGCGTAACGAATTAATGATGCCCTTCAACAGGTGCAAAGACACCTGCAACTCCGGATTGAAGCACAAGGGAAGTACCTACAATCAGTGTTGGAAAAGGCACACGAGACACTTGCAAAGCAGAATACAGGCTCGGGTGGTCTAGAAACTGCAAAGATGCAACTATCAGAATTGGTCTCAAAAGTATCAACAGAATGCTTCCATAATGCTTTTACAAGCTTTGAGGAGATTGAGGGATCACAGATGCTACGAAGGCAGACCATGCAGCTTGGTGATGGATCAGTTGACAGCTGCTTAACTGCATGCGAGGGCTCACAAAAGGATCAAGATATCCTGTCAATGAGCCTTTCTGCTCAAAAAGGAAAGGAGATTGGAGGCATGGCATTCGATCTGCAAATGAAAGAAAGAGGACACGAAGATTTGTTTCTCAACAAGCTAAGCAGAAGGCCTCCAAACCACCATGAAGGACACGAGAGGAGAGACAGCTTGAGTATGACATACCAGGCAACGAAATTGGATTTAAACATGAATGACACAAATAATGGAACTCAGAATAGCAAGAAATTCGATTTAAATGGGTTCAGCTGGAGCTAGGAAACACACAAGACAAGAGTGCCAATTTCATAGTAGTGAGGTTATGTGAAACATAATGGTTCTTCCATTGACATGCATCCCACTGGAAGACCTGGAAAAATCTTTGCTGTCAGCCATCGCAGTTCACTGAAATAAGTGATGGAAATTGACAATAAGATGCTTCTTGCAAGCCACATAAGTAGGCCGTGTAGATTCCAGAGAAAGTATTCGAGAACTATGTGCGTTCTCCTTTATTATATGCTTTGCTGTGATTCTGTACCATAGAAATACCACGAATTTTGTTGCAACCCCATGCCCAGGACGATTTGCATTGGATTGGTAATGCTAATTAAGGAACTTATCTTTTGCCTATTTTTTCTCACATCGGCAATACGTCATGCAAAGGCTGTATGCGCGTCAAGCCATCAATAGACCGGAGAAATCCTCTCCTACTTTACCTAGAATGATATACAAGTAATAAATAATATGCCATTGCCTGACCCTGCTCACATCTAATGGATCTGCAAGACTACAACCCATACATATATAATGAAAAAAAGGTTAAATCCCTACACGGCTACACCATCCGTGCGCCGGTCCAGTCTTGATCAGTAAAATACTGCGAGGGACTTGATCATCTATTTGCAATCAAGAATAATCGTTTGCACCGGCTACGAGCTAGTGGCAACCGGCGACGCACAAATCCAAGCTGCAGACGCTGAAACAACGGCTCCAGTTGCTTCCAGGAGTCACGGAATCCATGAAT